AAAAAAACAAGGAAAACATAGGTGAGTGCCACATACCGTTAAGCAAAAGGTTTAGCAAAAGAAGAAGATTGATTTTTTAATGGACGAACATTTGTCTGTATGTGATGTTTTTTAATGTAATTACCTGTCTGAATATTCTTAATACATGTATCAGTATATTGATAAAAAATACTCCTTTGGTATTCTAAAGAACTTCGCTGGTATCATTTAAAGCTATACGTTTCGATGTAGTATATAAATTGGAGAGGACAGCTGAAACTGTGGTCCCTGACCACCGTGGTTCTTGATTTACACAACTGGTCGGGTGCCACAAGTAAAACTCATTAATTACTGTTGAAAAAGTGTCAGATGGTGTCTACTTGATTTTAGTTGCCTTTCATGACAACCATGCCTTAATACGGAAATATTCTAAGCCTTTTGTCGCGAGGGTGAACTCTACGGTGACACAATAAAAATTATAGTGTCTTTCGTAGGAGATCTGAATTCGCCAGAGAACACGATTAACTGGAGTAACGATAAAGCATAAACTGAAGTATAAGATAGAGACAAGATAAGATAAAGTATAAGTTGTTCGATCAAAATTTTTATTTTTTTAAAATAATATTTGAAAGAAAAACGAATTTTAGAAACTTTATCTTTTAACTTTAGAAATTTTTATCTTATTTTATTGGGGTCAGTTAAGGGTGAAGTTCTATATTTAGAGTAAGTTATGTCACCATATTGGACTCGCTGTAGAAGTATAATACAAATTCCTATCCGAGCTGTCGGGAAAGTGATCATTAAATAGTTCTAGTAAGCGACTAGCAATAAATATAGTTCGAAGAGACGCGGAGCTTCGCCATCTGTATACGAATAATGTATTATAGACGGATGAAATAACTTTAAAATCTACCTGTCTGTTTGTAGGAGTACAGATCTCCTTCTTCTAAAGATATATATTTGCAAGAGTGACAATGGAGTTTATCTATGTGTTATTTAACCAAAAATAATGGATTTTATCTATGTATTATTTAACCAATAAAAAAAATTAATAAATTATCAATATATAATTTATTAAAAAAAAGTCATTTTAATTAATTCAATAAAATTTGATTTTAAGGTCAGTTATGACACCCGTGACTATTGTACATAACAGAAACTTTTATTTTTAATAGAGAGGTTTCGCACAGTAGTGAATTGCAACAACAAAATATATAAGTTTGAACATACAAGTCATACATGACTTTGGGTCAGTTGGCTAATAAACACTGACTCTGAGCTTCAAATTGGGTAAAGTTCAAGCCATGGTACTTGCAGTCTCAAAAAATTATTGAGGAAGAATTTATTGTAAGCAATAATTCCTAGACCACTGATGATGGGTTTTTGGCAATAGTCGAAACAAACAAAAATTCAATTAATTTTAAATAAAAATGTTTGTTGTTGCAATTCACTACTGTTCCAAACCTCTTCATTTAATTAATTTATAAAATTTTGAAAATTTCCAGTTCTATTTGTTGTATTTTTTTAATTTTCTTTTTTTTTTTGTTTGAAGGAAATCGTTAAATGCGATAAATGCGATACCACCAACAATTAATTACCAACACACATACGAATACACACACACACAGAAAACCACAAAAAATGCAAATACATGCCACATTGTTAATGTACTCCAAATATAGGCCACACGAATCGCGAACAATGTAGATAACACCAAAAATGTGTACCATGTACACCCAAAGGATTTGTAACTCTTACGCCCCGTAAGCCACAGAAGCTAAACAATAATGCGTGACAGATAATTTGTTGACATGCAAAGCAAGTACTGAGCAATGAGCACCAAGCCGCGAACATTCAACTTGTGTTCATTTCGTGGACCATGACGGTGTGGAAAAGCGCAGACACAAACCATTTTTTTCTTTAAAGTGTTCTGGCGTACAATTTACACGAAGCGTGTAAGGTATGTATGCAATATACACTGATTTCTCATATATCCTTTTTTACTTTTGATATGAATAGGATAGCCTTTTATGTTGCAGAAGGAACATAATTTTATTGCTTATAATTTATGCTTCTGATAATCGTATAAGATGGTCGAAAGATAATTATTAAATATATTTTCTTGCTAAAAGCTGATATATTACTTAAGCATGAATATTTGTATTTTCTGCAATTAAACTTAAAATTTATAGTTTATTTTAAATGCAAAACGAATCATAGTAAATTAAATAATATTAATATGTATTTAATTTTAAACTGAATGATTTATTTTGATTTATAGTTAATCAACCTTCTCGACATACCACAGAAAGGCTTCTTTTTTTTCTGTTATTTACATAATATAATTAATTTATTTTTTATTTTCATGTTAACACTTTGTTTAATATGTCATGAAGGAGGACATTAAAATAATGTAAATTGCCCGTGCGTGAAAAACAAACACAATTTTATGTTAACAACAACAGATTAACAATTTTATTAACTACTCCACTCCATTTTTAGGGCCCGGGCCTTTGCACACAAGGACGAAACTGTCATTTTGGACAAAAACAAAACAATTTTATGTAGTTCGTAGGCGAGCATGTGTGTTCGGGTTAGAGGTTAAGCTACCGACGGAAAGGGAAACGCTCTTAATGAAGTTGCATTTACGGATACACGACGGAAACATAAAACTTAAATACAAATAAGGTTTTGCCTAGTTCATGCTTTTATATATTCATATATTCCGGTTGAATAATATTTAAGTATTTTAAGTTATATGGAATAGGGAAATAATTAAAATTATAGTTAATTATTTTTTATTTAAAATTAATTGCATTCACTTTGTTTAATTTTGTCGTTTGTTTTGTCGTTAAATAAAAATTATTATTTTTAATAATTAATATTATTGTAATTATTTTTTGAAATAAAATTTTATTAAAACTAATAATTCTAACGCTCTTAACAGTTTCTTTTTAATGCTTTAAAAATTAAATTTTATAATATCCTGGCATGGTAAAGATATGAAACAAATTTTAAATATTATATAAAGCGTTATCCATTTCGTGGTCATGATTTAGCAGTATTGTTTCAGAGACCTATGTCAAATAAAAGTGTCATGGAAGACTATATTTATCCCATTGAAGAGGTCAACCCCAATTACGAGGGTAAAGAAAGCTATGGGCCGTGACTGTCGTGATACCAGACATAAATTTTAGGTCAAGTGAAACTCACTCAATACCATTTACACTTTAAAGAGAATCGGGTGATGCCTATTGAATTTTAGACGTGGCCATACTACCACGTCATTTTTTTTTTGCAGAATGACAGTTCTATTAGGTGGGTAAGAAAACATTGACAAATGAAATGGAATCCTCTTCATTCACAAATCCACAATCCCAACAAAAGTCATCGTACGGTAAACCCAGACCCATATTATGTCTTCATGTAAGCAGGTAATGTTTCAGTTAAAGCAGATGCTGCAGATGAAGTCAGATGACCGATACGTTTCTTGTCCAGTTTAGACTATGGCGTTAACAGGAGGGTTCATCTGAACAAATTTGTATACCTATGTTCAGACATTTTTGTTTGATTGCCAGATTAGTTAAGTGGGAAACTAATGTCCGAGAAGTGAAAGTCAGTGTGTAGAGTGCCAATCTATATCTATATTGCAATCAAAATATTTTGTTGTGTTATATAAGAAATAAATAATGTATTCGGTTAAATATTTGAAAAATTGTTGTTGGTTTGCAAAAGAAAATGACGAAAGCTGTGTTCTAGGAAAAAAAAAATATTACTCATATCTCACTACTAACATACTAAGTATTAAACATCTCACATACAAATTAATTGTCAAGACATCCCAAAAAAAATATATGACTCGCGGATACTTATACTCCCTAATATATTTAGCCCTGTTTTGACTTTCCAAGCATCATTTTAAATTATATAGCGTCTCGCTTGTATTCTTATTTTGATATTCCAAATCCTCTTGTATAAACTTGTTTTATTTGAACAGGGGCACGGATTATATTTTTTTTCGATATCCACTTTGTCCTAGTCAATTATGCTATATTTAGCGTCTAGCCCGTTTTTTTTATCTGATTAAACTTATCTCTTGTCAATTTGTACTCTATGGTCTCGACCTGGTTTTTTATCTGCTTTTTATATTGTTAAATTTGTTGATATTTTATTGTATATCTACTAGGTCTCGGTTGTTTTATTATCTGATATTCAATATTCTTTATCATAATTTCTATTATTTCTCTTATAGATCTCGTTTATTCTTATTCTGATATTCAAATCTTTTGTTAAACTCGTACATTTTATAAAGGGTCTTGTAGATCGTATGTACTATATAGGAGCTCTGTTGCATTCTTATCTGATACTTAAACCTCTTTTGCTAAACTGATGTGCTAAGACAAACTATTTGTCTAGAATAAATATGTATATGTATGTGTTAAAAATGTCGATTATATTTTATTAAATTTATAGTTCATAACTATATAGCATTCA